CCATGCAACCAAAATCGTACTTTAGCAAATCTGTGTGTATATCTACATATATAATATATACATATGAATATACATTACACACACGCGCAGTATAACTTCACAAAAGGAAATGAGGACTTTCAAGTTTCAGATCTGATTCTCGTTGCATGGTGGAGTGCACAGAAGGCCCCCAGTTTCTGTTAGAAGTATTCCTTAATGTCAGCAAATGATGCGGGGGATGGGGTAATCAGAGCAGTTGCCCTGTATCCCTCATGCTTGCGGTGCAGTCTGTGTTTCTCCCCTGGAGTCAGTGGTGGTTGTCCAGTGTTTCCTGCAGGGCCGTCATGTGCACACAGGTGCACTGAGCCAACATCATAGTCAACACAGAGGCTACTGCATGGCTAAAGCTTCCTCACTATGTAATTCCTCCTGAGCCAGGGAGGCTGCCTATTATTCTCTTACTTGGTCCCATTGTGTAATAGAATTTCTTCTGCTGCCCATTATTTTCTGTATCACCAGTGCTTCTAGAACTTCAGCCCCCACAGGCAGGATGTGGAGATATAATAAGAAAAGTCATGGGCAGTAATCTGGACTGAAGAACGGCAAATGCTGGACTAGAGAACCCGATGGGGAATTCTAAAGGCCCCATGAGCCTAAGAGGAGCTAGCCACCAAGCAAACATTCTGGGTGTTAGGTGAGTGAACTCTCCTCTCCCCCGCCCCTACCATGTCTGTGTAAGCAGAAGAAAGAGAAAGGGGAGATCTTTTCAGAAGGAATTCTAAGGGGGTTCTTCACCGGCTAAAGGAAATGAATACTTTGCACATGGGAGCTGTCCCTGGTACTTGTTCTGGCTTGCAGCTCTCTCCAGCGAAAGCTGTGGGCTTCTCTCAGGTAACCTGCCCTTGGGCCAAGACTGAGAAGGAGAGATGAGAGAAGGCAGAAAAGTAGGCCAGGCCGTTCTATGACAAGTGAGAAGAATCAGAAACATCCGGAGAAGGGGGGGGTGGGGCAGGGAGAAGAGAGAGACAGAGAGAGACTCACAATCTTGCCATCCCTACACTCACCGCAGTACAAATTCTAGCCAGACTCCTTTCTTCATGATTACTGGCCCAAGACCCTGAAGTGATGAACAAAGGACATACATGAGCACAAGATGGAGTCACACAATAACAGACAAGTACCTCCACACTCCGCCTTCTTTGGAGGAGAGAGATCTGGTTGATCTTTCCCCAACCCTTACACGCTGCCACCTGCACAGGGCTGTGCAGCCCCAGGAAGCCACCAGCTCAGAACTGCCCTTGGCTGCTCTCCCTTCCAGGCCCCACATGTCCTCAGCCATCACTTCCCCAGGTAGTGATGTGTCAGCCTCAGGCAGGCAAGGAAGGGAGGGCTCCTTCAGATGGCAGTCAGCCCTGAAGTGCAGGCTTCTTTTTTTTCCTCCATTTGCAAAGAAGCCAAATATTCTGAACCTGATTTCACAGGGCAGCCATCTCCCATCATGTCTGCATGCCTTCAGGGCAAGTGAAAGTGTGGGGAGGAGCTGGGCGGAGATGGCTAGGTGGCGGCACCCAGAACACTGACTAAGCAAGGAATTTCTCTGCTTTGTGAAGGTGACAATGAGCCTGGGAAGGGAGCCAATCCCCCACCCCGAAGTCCTTTCCCCTTCCATCTCTAGGGATGGACACTTCCTCCATTCTCATCATTCATTGCATTTATGGACTCGGACTCGCTACCGTCCTCTTTGAGGCTCTGTGTTTAGAAAGGAGAGAGGAGCCCCACCCCCACCCCACAAAGATCCTGCTGCTTTGCAAAAATGCCTGTTTTGTGTGGGCTTGGCACAAACTCTTTCGGGGAGCCCAGGGCTGTGGCTCATTCCAGCTGTACTAGTATGCTGGGAGCAGTTATCGCCTTGTTATGACTGTGGTGGGGGCAGGGCTTGCGGTGTGGAGATGGGCCCTCCCTCAACCCCTGGCACCACAGGGTTGGGGGGTGTCTACCTTCTGTGTCTCTTGGGCTGCTCTGGTTCCCCATCTTCTTCCTGTGCGCTTGGCCTGTCTGAATTGATCTTTCTAGACCAAGGCAGCTCTTCTGGCTTTAAGAAAAATGGTTCTCCTGGCATCAAGCAGATTCCCCTCCCTGCCCAGTGATGTCTGCAAAAGAGCAGAGGTGGAGAATCATGACGGTGTGGTTGTGAGAGTCACTACTGGGCTGCAGGGATCAGCTGCCCCTCTGCCAGCCGCACTTTCGTGGCAATCATGATTTGGTCTTCTATTATCAACAGATATGCCTTAAGAGGATGGTTCAGAAAGT